ATTCTTAAGGGGCTGGACAGGGTAAATGCTGAGAGAATGCCCCATGAGGGGAAACAGTCTGGGACAAGATGGCATAGTCTCAGAATAAAGGGGCATCAATTTAAGATTGAGAGGAGGAGGAATTTATTCTACAGGTCGAATGTCTTTGGAACTCCTTACAACAAAGGAAGGTGGGGACTGAGTCCTTGTGTATATTTAAGGCTGTGGTAGATAGATTCTTGATTACTCGGGGAAATCAAAGGTTACGAGAAAGGGCTGGAAAGTAGACGCAAGAGTGTTGGCTCACCTGCGATCCCCCTATTGAATGGCAGAACAGGCTCAAGGGGCCAAATGGTCTCCTCCTATTCCTGTCTCTTGCGGTATTGAACACAAAAGGCATTTGAAGATTTTTCTGTTTATTTAGAACACACACAGGGCCACGAAGAGAAGTCAGAAGCCCTAGTGCTGCATATGGCCCAGGCCCTCAGACCCTGACCCCAGAACAGCGAGAGTCCCAGGCCTAATTACTGGGCCCTGAAGTCTCTGCTACTGTGTACTCTGATTGCAAGAGGAAACCAGAGGAAAATAATGATTGTAAATTCACCTGTAGCACACAGGCCTTATAATCTAAAGGGTATAATTCACCCAAAAGTTGATAAAGTCAAGAACCAAAAAAGGGATATAGGGAGCAAGTGGCAGTTATATCGGTCACTAATAGAAATATCACAGTTCAGTCGAAACCAACAGAACAAAACAAAAAGGTACCAATACTTGATTCTTAAGAAATGAAAGGTTGATAATGTTCTGAAGACAAGCAGGAGTGTGAGGGAATGAGATTAGAAATGTAAGACCATGTAGTTCAGGCAGATTCCTATACTGAACACAAGGTTAGTATCTCCTTACTTTGAGGTTGAAACTTCTGAAGAACTGGCTGGATGCTTTTCAGAGCTACAGCCGTGATTCTCTTAATTCCTTCCTCAGAAATCTCCCAAACTGATGCGACTACAGGATACTTGTCTTTGTTATTGTTATAAACATTATAGAAGGTGTTGCAAGTGGAACTTACTGCCAACAGGCTGCTGAACCTCTTTATGAAGTTCCCCTAAAATAAAACAGGAATGAGACACATGATTTGAATTACTTCTGTCACATGTAGGAAGGTAACATGAAGTGTTGCCTTCTGTGTGATGCATCCAGATAGGATGCTTTCTATGGCACATCTGTAAAAAAATTAGATATTACATTTTGAAATGCAAATAGATTGCTAAGGTTTTGAAGTAGATTTGTAGCTCGGGTTGTGGGTGTTGAGGTTGGTTTGGCTTGCCGAGCTGGTTTCTTGTTTCGCAGACATGTTGTTACCATGTTGGGTATCATCCTCAGTGCAGCCTCCGATGAAGCGTCGATGTGTTTTCCCACCTGGTTTTTAAACTCCGAGGTCCGTTGAGATGGATTGCCTCACTTTCGATCTTCCTTCGTAGTGGAATGTATATGGGGTCGATAGATTGCCTTTAACATTTCAACATCTACCAATGCTATATAGTCATTTAGGCTGCTCCTTGACAATCAATTTACTATTAATGATGTAGCAGGAACTCGTGACAAGAGTCCCATTGCATTTCATTATGAAGAAAACCCTACTCAAGCTACCAGTGAAGAGCTAACACTAATCCAAACATCTATACCTTCCCTTGCATGGTGTTCTTTCTTACCTTACTAGTAATGCAATTGCTTTGCCCATCTCCAGACATCATGGCAACCTGCAAGTAGTAAGCGCACAACCGTGTTAAGTCTTTGCTGAACGCAAACCTCTACGGATGCTGGAGATTTGAAATAAAAACATGTTGCATTGGAAACACGCAATGGGTGTGGCAGACATCCTTAGAAGGCAGTACCAGAGCAGTGAGATTACAGTCTACGATGGCTTCGTAAAATAGTGTTGAGCTCACAGGGGCTGATGCCTAAAATAAAGGTGAAGCAATTCAAATGTGGTATTGTGCCGGTGAAGGAAAAAAAACGTGGGATTATAACTTCTTAATCCATTGGGGCCCCTGAAAAGAGTGAATTAGATTGCAAATTACTGCATGGATAATCATAAGGGAATTATCTTTTTTTTGGCTACCACCAAAGATGTAGCTCATCCTTAGGGTTGGAGAGGATGGGGTGAGAGAAGAAAAGAGGGGTCATCAATAATGGAATTATTTCATGTTTCAGAATCAGAATTCCTACAATGCAGATAGAGGCCCATCAGCCCATCAAGTTTACACTGACACACAACCACCCAAACCCATCCTATCCCCAGTGATGCCTGCATCCCATGAAAAAAAAATTTCCCAAAGGAAAATAAACTTAGAGTAGAGAGTGCAAGAGTTCCTGCCTTCTGGACTTCATCCATCAGCTAAAAAGGTGACTAATTCCAATTATTTGCTACCATAAACAGGGCACACTGTAAAAGGTTTTTCCATGCAGCAATGTGACAGAGAGGATAGTCTTCACAGGGTTGGGGCCAGTTTGGATCAATCGGTGATACTCTCAATTTTGGATGAAACCTTACCAAAAGGTTTGAGCCATGATCGAAGAGAATCCTAACAAAAATCAGTAAGGAAGTGCAGAACTCTCGGAAATACCACACTTTTTTTTTGAAAATGGAAACTTCATTTAGGTGTTATGGTAAACAAAAAAATTCTTATGACAACATTTGAAGAATGAGGATTCACTCCTTCAGCGCTCCCAAAGATTATGATTAACTAGCTCATTCAAATTATTTTGGTTTATGGAACCTTGCCAATAACTTCCCAGATGGTGTTAGCTACACTTTAAAAATTAGTAATTTCTTAAGAAGAAGAAATTTGAAGCAGCCAGAGATGTACCAAGAGACATATTACCAATACAAAACATTTCACTAGATGGAGAATGATTGCCCCAAAAATCAAAATTGGGACTGGTTCAACATAAATTTGGAAGAGACTAGAACTTAGAGGAGTTGATCAAATGGCTACCAAAAGATAAATGAGGCATGTAAACCAGAGTACTCAAATAGGATCTTAAACACTGAAAAAAAATTAAATGGGCTAGGACCAATCTGTCATTTGAATCGAGGAACAGGGCAAACAAAGGGACAAATATTGAAAGTTAAGAAAGTGGGGAGAGAGTCGAGAGAACTAGACACTCGAAATGAAGGAGAGGGGAGAGAGTATTCAACAGAATTTAACAACATGCCTTACCACTGCAGCCCCCAGCCTAAAAATATTGGTTGTTTAGCCTCTATTTAAATATAATTAAGAGTAATAGAACAGGTAATGTGAAACAACTGCTATACACTCCACCATTCATCATCTCATCACTATCTTTCCATTTTTCACCTAACTCTTTGAGGACTTCTGACTTCGATAAAACGCAGTGCAACTCCAAGGATCATAAACACAAAGGTTTGTTTCCGAGCTTTTAGAGGGTAGAGAAAGTCGAATCTTTACAAAGTTTTGACCCTAAAAAGAAGTCCACGTGAATGGAAGCAGCATCGTACAACCCGGCAAACTCATTTCCCTTTAGTAGTTGTTGCAATCCCATTGCCCAAAAACATGCAACTAGGGGGAGAGGAGAAACGTTCAGCGGTACTGAACACTGGGGACAGAAAGATTGAGTCCATGAACCTTATGCTTGCTGTCGTTTCGCTACTAAAAGGGGCTGACTGTCCCCCCCGGATACTCACAGTTCGCCGATATCCCAGCAATGAATTACTATCAAACCGTGCGCACGAACCAGAAATCTCCCTCTATCCTGAAATTAAATAGCATGTAGAGCCCACCCCCTCCACACCCATTGGACAGCACCGCTGTCCGTTACAATTGCTGCCAGTCAAATAAAATCAATAATTATTGCAAATGTAATCCTACTGTGGGATTATACACAGAAAGAATAAAAAGGGTGGTGTCCTTACCTCTGTGTTTATGTCTCACCCGCCCTGGAAGTGTTTTAAAATTTAGGCGCTGTTCTAGTAATGTCCCTACCTCTGGGCTAGGAGGCTGGGTTTAAGTCCAACCTCTGTATGTGATGGCCACAGAGATGTCATACGCATACAAATAGGTTGAATAAAACAAAGTAGTGAATAATAAGCAATCAATTTTTTTTACAATTTGAATTCTTTGGTTGGATTGTGTGCTGAAGGAATAAAAGGGGTATTTGTGGCACAGTAGTAGTGTCCCTACCTCAGGGTGAGAAGATGTGGTTTCAAGTCCCATCTGCAATGGAAATGTTTCATGATCTGCCTGAGCAGGTTGAAAGTTTTTTTTTTAAATTTGTAGACAAAAGGATGCAAGCTTGATGTTGTCTAACTGGAAATAAAATACAGTTCCACTGTTTAAAATAAAATTGGAGAATGGGAAGGTTACATTTATTGTACCTGTGCAAATTCCAGACATCAGTTACTAAAGAATAAAAACAGAAAGTGCTGGTGAAACTCAGCAGGTTTGGCAGCATCTGTGAAAAAAAGAACAGAGTTTACTGTTTGGGCCTATGACCTTGATCTCACTGACCTGAAATATTGACTCTTTCTTTCTCCGCAGATAGATGCCATATCTGACTTGCTGAGAATTTCCAACATTTTGTTTGTTTCAGATCCCCAGTATCCATAGCAATTTGCTCTTAGTTAATAAGTTACCAGGGTGTTAGAAGGTCAAAGGCAAAAGGATCATCATTTTTTTCATTCATTCACCGGATGTGGGTAATGCTGGCTTGACCAGCATTTATTGCCCATTCCTAATGGCCAGACAATGGCTGAGAGTTATCCATACTGCTAGGGGTCTGGAGTCGCATGTAGGCCAGACCAGGTAAGGTCAACAGTTTCCAAAATGGCACTGGATTGTGGCAACAGAACATTTTTCACTGTATCTCTCTAGATATATATGACAATAAATCATTCATTCCCTAAAGGACATTAGTGAACAAGATGAGTTTTTCCCAACAATTGATAATGATTTCATAATCATCATTAGACTATTAATTGCAGACATTTTTTATTGAATTCAAATTCCACTATCTGCCATGGCAGGTTTTGAACCCGGGTCCCCAGAATGTTGCCTTGGTCTCTGGATTAATAACATTACTAGGTCATTATTTCTCACTATTCTTCCCTATCAGAGGGAAGTCATCATCAACAGACTTCTTTAATGGCCATTCCGACATGCAGCTCAATTAAACTGATATAGAAACGGACATATTGCAGATGAAGGTTCACAGACCCACAGATTCTGACAGACATGCTGAATAATACCATTGTTGTCTCTTTTCCCAGCTCAAAATAACATTGACAGAGGGATTGTAATGTGGTATTCCCCTACAATTTCACTTCTATGGGTATCGTCTGTCATGATAATAGATCATAACCACAAATTACTTACAGATGTATTGAACTCCTAAGTAGAATATGTTTTTTTAAAGGCTGGATATACAGGTCAAAATTTGGTTGAGAACATTGTTTCCCTAGAGGAAACATGGAATGTCACAGCTGAGCAGTGTCAAGGGAACTTCAGACAGCAATGCTTCAAAGGGAGAGCTGTCATTAAAATAAGGAACTGTGATTTCCTGTGGTTACAGAGATAATGAGAGGCTGCTTAGTGACTGCTAGCAGAAAACTATCTCCTGCGAGTTGTGTTGCAGTCTGTAGATGTATATAAGTTGAAAGAAAGACAGCTCTGGCTGAAAGACAGTTAACGTTTTGAGCAGTGACTCTCCTTCAAAACAGGGTTAGGGTTCTAAATAATGTTCACTGTATTTGAAATGTTAACTCGCTTTCTCTCCACAGATGTTGCCAGACCTGCTGAGTTTCTCCAGCAATTTCTAATTTTGTTAAAGTCTCTCTCTGATTGCTGAAAGTGTCATCCACTGCGGAAGGAAACTGGATAAACTCCTTTCAGTCAAATGCAGAACCAATAACCTCCAAACAATTACTCAATCGCCAAAGTCAGCAATGCTGGATTCACCCACCTGAACAGTCCCAACGTTTCACAATATGTCCATCACAGCCAAGCCAAAGATTGACTCATGCTTTTTTTTTAAACTCACTTATCATTTCTAAGGTCTGTGTATGTGTGTCATGTTTTATCATCTTTTCTCATGTTTTAGTAACTAATTAACGCTCAAATTAATTCAAGAAAGCCTGGTTAAATTGGCTCCTTATAAAACATAAATAATTTTTTGTTGGGAAAGAAATCCACAAGGGAATGGATCCTTTTATAAAGTTAAGTTGTTGTGAACAAACAAAGGAGGGGTCTTGTAGAAAAAGGAAACCAGCTCATCTCACCTCACCCAGGAGCATAACCACTTAGGAAAATCCCTCCTGAATTGTAACCAATTGGCAACCCTTGCTTGTAGACCAGTCACAACCTTTGATAGTGTTTAAAGCAGCAGACATCTAACAGGCTATGTGAAAGTTTGTGTGAAGTTGTAATGACAATAAAGTCACCATAGTCCTATTGGACCACAGAACTGCTCTGTTGTTCGAGAGAGATGACTGGTCGTGGTTCAAACTGAGGGTCACTATACTTCAGCTGGGGTGAGAGGTTGAGAAGGAGAGTTCTTCATTGTAATCTCAGCTGGTGCGGGAATTGATTCCACTCTGTTGCCAACAGTCTGTATCATAAACCAGCTGTCCAGCCAACTACGCTAACTGACCCTGATGAAAAGGTGTAGAGCTGGATGAACACAGCAGGCCAAGCAGCATCATAGGAGCAGGAAGGCTGACGTTTCGGGCCTAGACCCTTCATCAGAAATGGGGGAGGGGAAGGGGGTTCTGAAATAAATAGGGAGAGAGGGGGAGGCGGATAGAAGATGGATAGAGGAGAAGATAGGTGGAGAGGAAACAGACAGGTCAAAGAGGCGGGGATGGAGCCAGTAAAGGTGAGTGTAGGTGGGAAGTTAGGGAGGGGACAGGTCAAGGGGGTGGGATGAGGTTAGTAGGTAGGAGATGGGGGTGTGGCTTGAGGTGGGAGGAGGGGATAGGTGGGAGGAAGGACAGGTTAGGGAGGCGGGGACAAGCTGAGCTGGTTTTGGGATGCGGTAGGGGGAGGGGAGATTTTGAAGCTTGTGAACCGGGGACCGCTTTGCAGAACACCTACACTCGGTTCGCAATAAACAACTGCACCTCCCAGTCGCGAACCATTTCAACTCCCCCTCCCATTCCTCAGACGACATGTCCATCCTGGGCCTCCTGCAGTGCCACAACGATGCCACCCGAAGGTTGCAGGAACAGCAACTCATATTCCGCTTGGGAACCCTGCAGCCCAATGGTATCAATGTGGATTTCACAAGCTTCAAAATCTCCCCTCCCCCTACTGCATCCCAAAACCAGCCCAGCTCATCTCCGCCTCCCTAACCTGTTCTTCCTCCCACCTCAAGCCGCACCCCCATCTCCTACCTACTAACCTCATCCCACCCCCTTGACCTGTCCATCCTCCCTGGACTGACCTATCTCCTCCCTACCTCCCCACCTACACTCACCTTTACTGGCTCCATCCCCGCCTCTTTGACCTGTCTGTTTCCTCTCCACTTATCTTCTCCTCTATCCATCTTCTATCCGCTTCCCCCTCTCTCCCTATTTATTTCAGAACCCCCTTCCCCTCCCCCATTTCTGAAGAAGGGTCTAGGCCCGAAACGTCAGCCTTCCTGCTCGGCCTGCTGTGTTCATCCAGCCCTGCACCTTGTTATCTCAGATTCTCCAGCATCTGCAGTTCCTACTATCTCGGACCCTGATGAAGTTGTAATATCTTGGTATGTAAAGCAGTTTGGTCATTCATTAGCTCAGCAAAAGTGTTAGAAGATATACTCATGAGAATTTACAAATGCCTGGATGTACTTTAATGGTTATAGGACATTCAGAGATATTGAGAATTGATGGTTATGCCAGTTAGGTGGCTTTAGTATGTAGTTGTTCAATAGCACGAGAGCGATGTTACAATCTTTGTTTAAATGACTTAATCACTGAAGTATTCTGGATTAATGATTATATCTTTAGTTCAACTCCCTGACAGAATAAATAATCCTTTGACGCCAGTTCCTCAATTACATCATTGTTTAAACATAAATATTCAGAAAAAAAATCAACACAGACAGAAAATAAACAAAGCAAAGGCATTCTGGGTAACTACTTCATTTTCAAAAGATTACTGAACTTGTTGATCATGATCTAGAAAGGAAATAATATGCACAGTCAAAATGCTAAGGGAAAATGTATTTTTCTTTATTATCGTTGTATTATAACTGATTTTTGAAATAGGTAAGAGAATCTAGGTCATGACGTAAAAACTGAACATTTTTCATTTACTGAAGAGAGAAGTTATTAACTTGAATACACCACCAGGAAGGAAGTGGGTGATGGTGATAGATAGGTTTTCTGGTTTGGATTAGAATTGAATGCATGACTGGGAAAAGTCAGAGAATTAGGGATGGTTGTTGGTTCCATGGATTCAACAAACAAGTTTTCTAAGTCGTGAGGAACCCAGGTTGAAACACCTGTAGTCATTGTCCTTGATGGAAGATGAATCACAGGGCAGAAAGGCTTGTCCTGTGATTCCCTGTCATCACACACACAAGTGAAATTGGGTATTTTGCACAAAGCTGATTAAATTTGCACATGTCACAATGTTTGTTATAGGTGAGCATCCCACAGATCCCCACTACTGTAGCCTCCTCAGGGCATTGGTAGTTTGATTGGGTGACCAGAGACGAAACTGAGATAAGTCACACTTGTATGGAATTACGAAACAAAGCACTGAAGCACGATTT